CGGGGCCTACGACTGATGATAAGTTGATTAACCATTTCGAATGATTCGACGGGAATTTTATGTTGGGGTTCCCTTTATTAGCATGCCTATTAGGCGGTTGGTTCTTGTTCTCGAGGAGTAATTTAAGCTTATTGATAAAACGTTTCTTGCTTTGTGTTTTCATTTTTCCCAGTCGCATGTTCCATGAACTCGTTCATTATTTTCGATGGTAATGAGGAGTTAAATGTTATCCTCAGTTTTCTAATGCTGCCCCTCAGTATGTTAAGTGTTATGTTGCAATCATTAATGAAAATATTAAGAATTTTTTGACAAAATAGAGTTGTTGTTTTTGTCAATTTGTTTTTACACTTGTTCTTGACCACAGATAAGTGTTTAAAATTCATTCTGCCAAGATGACAGGGCACTACCCGCTCTTTTCTACACCTCAAGAGAAACACCAGTTTTTGGGTTTCAATGATCTCATTTTCGAAAAGACTTTCAATTTCTTGAGGTTGATTTTGGTTTTAGTTCCAAATTTATTGGATACCAAGTTGAAGAAGTTCGAGGGACATTTTTGTTTTAAACCTTCCATAATTATTCTTGCGTTAATTTTATCGACCGCAGTAATTATTCATAGATAAATTTTCAATTGGCTTTTCGGTCTCTTCATTAATTAAATTGAATATGTTACACCAACGTTTCAACCCTCATTGGGGTCCTCTTCAGGGTAAATACAATTATAAACAATCTGTGGAAAATAACAGAGAAAGAAAATGAAATTATAGAATGCAGTTAACTACATAAATCATGTATAAATAGTCAAATTGAGAGAAAGATTGCAAACATACCAAATACAATTCATTAGTCCATGATGATCCTTGTCAACAGCGAGATTGTAATATAAATTATTGTAAGTGGAGAGTTGAGGTTAGAAAGTCACTGGCTCCAATTCTGTGTCACAAGTGACTGAGTTTCGGCCTTTTAAACTTAGTCATCCAATTTTCAGACAAAAGAACTTACTGCCCATCAAACATACACTCCTGGATAATAATTATGCTGAGGAGTTTATTGAGCATCACATAAAGTCTAGACTCAGAGTTTTGAAACAGAGAGAACGCAACAATGGACCTATGAGAGCAGCCGTACCGGAAGCACCTAAATTGGTTCTACCTTTCATCGATGGTCTAACTCAGCAACTGAGAAGAGCGATAACTAGGCATAGTCTTGGTGTGGTCTGCAGTAAGTAACAAACTAGGAAGTATGTTAAAATCACCTAAGGATCCACTCGGTCCAGAGATGAAGACCAATCTCGTATACTCGATTCCTTGTGGTGGCTGTGAAGGATTGTACATCGGACAAACGAAGAGACCACTACATGTAAGGATTAAGGGACATAAAAACAACGTGAACTTATTCCCTTCGAAATTCATAGTTTTAACTAAACGTGTAAGTGATCAGGACCATCGGTTCGACTACAATAGGGTAAAGATCTTAGGCACGGAGAAACAACAATAAAAACGTAATGTATTAGAGATCATTCATATCACGAGAGAACCCAATTCTGTTAATTTCCGGTCTGATGTAGATCGATTAGCTTCGGCCTATAGTTCGCTAATTAAATTGGAAAAAAACTTTTGCGATCGCGCTGTACATTGAGCAACATCATTTCAATGCTGTTGTCTCAATTTTCAATTATTACTTATATTGTTGGAACCTAGTAGCTTTTGGTCATAGGGAACTTTCGCCACCTTAGGGTTTCTTGCTCATGTCCGTTTTTATGTATTTGTGAATTGGAAGTTGTGTTGAGTTGAGCGTCATAACAACATAACATGATGTTGCAGCGTGGCTGTTTTTATTGTAAATTCAAATGATTTTTATTAAATTTGTTTAACACAATACGCTGTTAGTTTCCTTAATTTGGATGACTGCGTCGTTTTCGGTCATTCAGATCATTTTAATAACCAAAACTCAGTCACTTTTGACACAGAATTGGAGCCAGTGACTTTCTAACCTCAACTCTCCATTTATTTACAATAATTTATATTACAATCTGGCTGTTATTGACAAGGCTCATCATGGGCTAATGAATTGTATTTGGTATGTTTGCAATTTTTCTCTTAATTTGACTATTTATCCAAGATTTTTGTAGTTAACTGCTTTCTATAATTTTATTTTCTTTCTGTGTTATTTCTCACAGATTGTTTATAATTGTATTCACCCTGAATAGGACCCCAATAAGGGTTGAAACATTGGTGTAATACATTTAGTTTAATTAATAAAGAGACCGGAAAGACGATTGAAAATTTATCTATGAGAGATTATAATTATTTAAACCTCACGCACGTTTTATCATCGGTCACCCCATGAATTTGAAAAAGACTTGGAGTAGATCCTAATTACTTAGAACATCTCCTGAGTAACTTCATTAATGTGGAATGATTTCACTAATTGTTTTTTTTTCGAATTAATTCTCTCATATTCGTTTAGTTATTTTTATTTTCATTCTCGAGAGGTTCACAAACTATCATTTTTTTGTATGCAACTTTCACTGTTGCCCGCTTCTTCAACATTCATTGAATAAAAGAATGATCAGATCTCTCTATTCTAGGGTTTTTCATCTCTTCTTGAGGAGTTCGATTCCATTCCGTTTGTTTATAAGCACTCGTGTTTATTGAAGTCGTTTCTGACGAAATTACATATTATAGGGAGTGATCGATTCTCCATTTATTATTATCCGAATTTATTTAATTTCCCGCTGCGAAAAATCTTTCTCAACCGAAATTGTTTATTTCAGGATCATTTTATCACTAGCGCTGCCGCGGCCGCGACGACGATGCCCTTTCATTATGCCTTTTCTTATTTTTTTCCTTGTGTTTCTTTCTCAAAATTGATTATTTATCATCGTCTTATTAAATTGAGTGTTAAAATTAATGGACACAATGCTTATCGGTTCATCACCTGTTCAATTTGAATATTTCAATAAGAGATCCACTAATTCTGAATTTTAGTGCGCACTGAACGATGTTCTAACTATAATTCTCATCAAAATGCCATTCAGAATGCAAAACAATATTTATTAATTATGTACAACGCCCTTTTGGCCAAAATTCACTTTTTTTCCATTTTTCTGGCAAATTATTGATCGGATTGACGCGAAATAATATACCGTTTCTGCGTTTTATCATTATTGGCTGACTCACGAAGTTTCATGGCAGTGCAATCATTTTTCTGCATTTTTTTAATAAGTTTTGTGAATTTTTTAAACGGTTTACAAAAAAGGTCGGAAAATGATTACACGATCATCAAATTTCGCGAGTTATTAAGCAATGATAAGACGTAAAACCGGTATATTTTTTCCCGTCAATCCGATCAACAATTTGCCAGAAAAATTAAAAAAACGTGAATTTTGGCGAAAAGGGTGTAATATGTCCTTAAAGTTCTCACAATCAAGAATTTTATAGTGTTTGCAACCCTATATTTATTCTCCTTCACACCTTTACGAAAGCATTTAATTATTGCTGATGGAAAAATTATATGACGGATTCTGATGCTCCTTCACTAATTCGGAGCATTTTCTTCTCATTCATGGTCTTCATGCCAATTCTATTCGACGATGCCATGAATTAGAAACTGATGAATTATACGAAATTTTTTCAAATTCTCCATGAAATCCCGAAATTCTCGTGAATTTTGCTTGAAAAGCTTGAAAATTTTTGTGAAATTATGTTCTCAGATTTTTTAAATCATATTCTTCTTTCCCATTTCAATCAGAGTGTAGTAGTTGGGGTTACGTGACTCCTGCACATCAGTTTTATTGGGCAGATTCCACCTTTTCCTATCAATTATTTACCCATGGTTAATTCAAAAATTTTCTAATATTTGAGACATGCAGAAAATTTCCTCTAATTTTCGAAGAACTCGTACTTTTATTCGATTTTTTTCTCAGAAAACCTCATAGTTTTAAATTGTCTGGAAAACTCCCGAATCATCTTACATGCAGAAAACAACCGACAATTTCCCTGATTTTTTAAGGAACGTGTGAACTTCCTTAAAGTTCCGATAATTCATATTTATCCTATTGGAGACGCATTTTGTGAAGAATTTGAAACACATCGTCATTAATTGCCAAAAATCTTCTGCTAATATGAGCATTCCTTAGGAATTGGATCTCCTCTCAAATTTTCATATTTCTATTGGTCTTAACAGTTTCAGCTTTGCATTATTATCTCAGTCAAGCTAAAAAGCTCATTTTTCACATTCGTTAGCGCCGCCGCGGCCGCGACGTTGATGCTCTTTCATTATGTCTTTTTTTCATTTTTTTCCTTGTCTTTCTTTCAAAAAATAATGATTCATCATCATCTTATTATACTGAGTGTTCAAATTAATGAAAGTAATGCTTATCGGTTGATCGGCTAATGCTGAATTCCCGTGCTCTTTGAATGAGGTTCTTATGATAATTATAATCAAAATTCGATTCAGAGTACAAATCAATAATTGCTAAATTTCTCACCATCCAGAATTTTTTGGTCTGCGCCACCTCCTTTACTCTCCTTTAGATCTTTACAACAGCATTCAATTATTTTTCTAGAAAAATTATAAGACCGATTCTGATACTCTTTGGCTAATTTGAAGTATCTTCTCCTCATTCATCATTTTTCTCACAATTTTATTAGATATTATAGGATTTGAAACTAGAATCATGAATCATCTGGAATTTTTTCAAATTCTCTATAAAATTCCGAAATTCTTGTGACTTTTTTTTTCATGTTTGTAAAGTGGTTGAGAATCCGGGGAATTTCTCGAATTTTCAAATTATGTTCGAGCTCGTGACTCCTTCACATTAGTTTTATTTGGAAAATTCCATCTTTTCTTGTCAATTGTTCTCCCATTTTGTATTCAAAAATTCTCTAATGTTTGAGATACCCAAAATTTCCTCTAGTTTTCGAAGAACACGGTTTTCTCGAATTTTCGATTTCGTCGAATTTTTTCAGAAAACCTTATAATTGTTTTGAATTCTCCAGAAAATTGGCGTATCATCTTACATCCAGAAACAACTGGCTATGCTGTGAATATCGTCATATCGTGTTTCCAGCACAAAATTGAAAATAAAAACTTGAAGTGACAGTGTGACTTCTGTTCTATCCTTTTCCGTGAATCTGAAATTCATGTTAATGCTTCACAGAATATGACACAAATATCACCATTCTTGTTCTCTACAATTTTTAAATTTGGATATTATTATTTTTTCAAAGTGGAAAGATTGATCATGGCTTTCATTGTGTCGCATTCAAATTCTATAATCTCATAATTCTAGCTATTGATTGTAATCAACTTTGGAGAAAACCTTACTAAACGCAACATTAAGAAAAATAAATAATTCTATTTTCAATTTGGACAAGTATAATTGTCTCAGCATCCGAAACTATCGAGTAATTAGGTACAGAATGTTTATACATTGAATGAGAATTCAAGTAACTTGAGAGTTTTTATCTTCATGCTTGAATTGCCGTAAATTTTCAGTGAAATTTTTTATTTCTTGACTTTTCCTTCTTAAACTCCTAAAATTTGCTATTAAAGTGTCATTAAAATTTCAATTCTTTTTTTCAACAGTATATCTACTATTTACTCATAATTATGAGGGAATATTTGAAAAATATGGAAAAAAATAGAAAGTCGCCTTTCGAAGTAGACTAATGATTTAAAAATTGTTATTTTCGAAGACCATGCCTTTTTTCTACAAATGATTCCATTATAATCAATTTTTTTTTACTAAAAGAATAATTTTTCCTGAATTGTACTGCAACTGAATTGAAAAAAATTATATTTTTCGGAAATTTGAACCATTCTATTATTTATTCCTATAAAAAGAATAGTGAAAAAAGCAAGTATTTATGGAATTTTGTTCCAAAGCCGCTACCCTGGAGATCAAGAATGACGGTACAATGCCGGTATAGCGTCGTTGTTACGTCGTTGATTTTTATTGTCAATTTTGGGGCTAGAAAAGGAGAAATGACCTCTAAAACCATTATAAAACTTGATATATATGAGGTATTTATTCATATTGGTACCGTTAATTGCATTGTTATTTATCAATTAGATGAAATTATTTTTAGTATTAAGAATGATGATAGAAGCTTGTAGGGGGAATGCCGCAAGATGGCGGTAGCGTTAATTTCCCGCTCGAATCGGTAAAGTTGACAGTAGTCGTAGACCAGCCTGGTCCGACCAGTCGTCTGCCGAGCTAGTTAACGGGTGTGCAATGTTGCCGCATGTTTTATTATTTTATTTTAGGTAATTAAAAGTGTACAGGAGATAGGAATTGCATCGGATATATTTTCGTATGATTAACTTTAGAAAATAATAATTATTTTTACATTGTTTTAATTTATTTTATAACGTGTTTATTAGGGGGGGGGGGGGGGGGGCATGATAATACAGAGTTGCAAATTCTTGCCAAGGGGAGGGGATTTCAAAATTTATCTGAGCCACCCCCCAACCCTGCGTTCGCATGCGTCAATTAAATAAAATAAAAAATTTCGTTATTTAAGATTTCGCGAGGGGGTGAAAGGGGGAGATACGACGGCGTAGGGTCGCAAATTTTACACAAGGGGAGGAGGTTGCCGAATCTGACTGAACCACCCCCATGCGTTGATGAAATAATAAAAAATGATAAATAAATAATGAAATCGCGAAAACTGATAATTTACGAGGGGTTGCAGGGGGAGGTATGATGGCGGAGGGTTGCAAAATTTACTCAAAAAGGGGAGGGCGTTTCAGAATCTAGCTGAGCCACCACCATCCCTCTGTTCGCATGCGTCATTTAAATTAATTAAAAAAATTTTAAATAAAAAATATAAATCTTTGTTAATTGAAATTTCACGAGAAGGTGGAAGGGAGAGGTATGATGGCGCAGGGTTGAAAATTTTACCCAACAAGAGGAAGGGGTTCCAGAATCTATCTGAGCCACCCCTCATCCCTCCGTTCGCATGTGGTAATTAAATAAATTAAAAAATTCTTGAATGAAAAATTAAAATTTTCAGTAGTAATATCACTAGTCCTTCAAAATTATCGGATATTTTCCGATAGCTTCGTTGCCTAGAAACGATTGTGTCAAATTTTGCAGGTTTAAATTCCCGAGTGCGAAGCACGAAAGATTTTTCTGCGAAATTTGACACACTCGTTCCTAGGCAGGGAAGCTTGAGGAAAATATCCGATTAATTTTGAAGCACGAGTGGTATTTGACGGGTTATTTTTCCACTTCGGCCAAACACTGAGATTTCGGCCAAACAGAGTGCAGTGCAAATCCGGATATATTTGGGACATTCAATGGAACTCAGCCACCCCGGATTTTTTTTGTCTAGAAAAAATGATTTGATTGCCGCGTTTCGAACTACTATATATAGACAGTATTCCTGCCAAATTTCATTGCCTCATGATTTTTTGTTTCTGAGATAATGACTACCAAACTTTGAATATTCAAAAATTTATAATTTTTGAATGGCGTGTCCGATGCGAACAAATAAAAAAAGAAAATTTTTGTTTTCGTTCATACTTTCAGGAAAAAAATACTCCATAGGCGTGAAGAAGTTTCTACACCTATTTTTCGATGAATTTTTACGTTTTTGTTTTTTTTCGGCTCCAGGGCCGTCCGATATTCGATTGGAATATTTTTTTTTTCTGATAGCGGACGTCCATATATTATGTAAAAAAAATACGTCAATATGGGAGAGACAACCAGTGGAACGGAGAAAATGTTTGTTTCCTAAATTTTCGTGTTTTTCCACTTTCTAGGGGAGCTGCCTCGTCTTTATTAAGAAATTGATATTTCAGTTCATCCCTTTGATGAACATGAGTTAGAAAAGAGATTCATCACAATAGAAAAGAGAAACAATGCGTCGGGAAAAAAATTTTCTCTGAAATTTTTGAGTTTTTTCGCTATCTATGAGAGCTATTTTTGGCTCATAACGATGAAAAGGAAAGCCATCATGGAAGAGACAAGCAGTACACCAGAAAAATGTGATTTCTTCGCAATTTTCTTATTTTTTCTCTTTTTCTCTTTTTCTTCTTCTTCTCAATTTTTTATTGCTTCTTTCACCTTTCAATCGACAGTTTTCTCTTCTGCTAGATGGGAGGGACTATCAACAACATTATGAACCTCTTTCGAAAGAAAAAGTACTCATCCAAAGAAGTACGAAACATGGAAAAACAAGTTTTATTTTTCTGTAACGACCTTTTTACATTTTGACAATAAGAGGCTATTATTTACCGTCTTCAACTACCACTTGCCCACTTGCACTGATTTACTATACATCTATTCATCACGATTACTGTTTTCTAAGTGCTTTCCGTTTTGTTGTTGTTGTATGTTTTCGTTTCGGAAAAACTTCTTGGTTTTCCGCAGCCGAATATCGTTTCATTAACAATTGCTCTCCCGGTTTTGGAATGAAACAATGGTGTTTTTGAATGGCTGGAATAGCTTTGGCACTATCAAATCTTTCCCTCAATTCAGTTTTTATATTCTCATGTGCGTCCTTGGTGAAAAAAAATATCAATTCCTTTGAAATTCTCTTTTGACCATCGAAACAAAGCATCTGGCGTCAGGATGGATTCACCATGGACGATTTGCAAGCTTCTACGTCTCGCTTCTCTTTTGAAAACAGCACCCACACCGTCACAAGCTCCNCCGTCACAAGCTCCTTTACCGTGTGCGGTTGCATGGAAATGGGCCTCTGCATCTATTCCAAAATCAGTCTTGTGATGCAGAAGATTAGCCATTTGGTAACGATTCTTGTAATTCTGTGCAGCTCCATCGGTGACATGGATGATTCTCTCGATATCTTTGCAGTTATTCTTCACATGTTGTATTAGAATTTTCTGTACTAAGTAAACAGCTGCGGTATTGGGAGTAGTACTATCTGACAAAACAACTTAACTCCGATGCTGGATCTCGTTTGCTTCGCGATAGTAGTAAACAACGGGATGGACTGTACATTGGTCATTGTTGTAGTGGAAGGATTGAGCAGCATCTTGA